CTGTCTACAAATATGCTTGCTTTCAGGTATGGCACGGGACTCTGGGTGGCACGTGGAACAGGACTGGGAGTGTCTGCCTACATGTCTTTAGCTACTGACTCATTAATAGGAATAGTGTTAGAGGAGAAGACTGCATAGTGTGAAGAAGAGAGCCATGAGCCCTAGCTGGTGTGGCTCAGTGGATAGAGCATTGGCCTGCGAACTGAAGGGTCCCAGGTTCGATTCCGGTCAAGGGCACATGCCCAGGTTGCGGGCTCGATCCCCAGTAGGGGGTGCAGGAGGCAGCCAATCAATGATTCTCTCTCATCATTGATGTTCCTGTCTCTCTCTTTCCCTCTCCTTTCCTCTCTGAAATCAATAAAAATATATTTTTTAAAAAAAGAAGAAGAAGAGAGCCATAAGTGTAGTGCTTGGGAGTGTGGGGCTTAGAGTCAGTCCTGGGTTGATATTCTGGCCCTACCACTTACTAGCTATGACCTTGGGGAAATTACTTGTCTCTCTGTTTCTTCATATGTAAAGTAGGATTTTAATATTTATTCATTAGGATTTGTCATCAGGATTAAGTAATTATATATAAAGCTTTTGATGTGGTACCTGGCATATAATGTGCTTAAAAGGTATCATTATCATCATCACCTCCATATCATCCTCTTCTCTGTTATTGTTATTATGGGTCAGCAGCTTGCAGAGTGGAGGGGATGCAGGGAGATTGTTTGCAGGATGTTATGTGATGTGACTTTGGGCCTGTGGGGGCTGCAGGTGGAGAATGACCAGGAGCGGTTCATGAGTGATCTGCGTCGGGATGTGGAGAAGGTCGTTGGCTTTGATGCTGTGATGCGAGTCCGGACGAGCACTGGTCAGTCCTGGTTGAGAAGAGCAGGTGGGGGGGCTAAATCTAGGAGGGAGGCAAGTGGCACCTTTCATACCTTTAGCCCTGACCCTGTCCATGTGGCCTCAGGTATCCGTGCTGTAGATTTCTTTGGGGCTTTCTACATGAGCAACACAACAGATGTGGAGCTGGCTGGCCTGGATGGGGAAAAGACGGTGACTGTGGAATTCAAGCATGATGATCGGCTCAATGAAGAGAGTGGAGCCCTCCTACAGGTGGCAGGCAGCAGGCGGGAGGCAGGGGCTGGGGAGGAAGTCTCAGGTGTCCTTTCACTGGATATAAAAAGGCTGCAGGGAAGAGGGTGAGGGGTCGGTACAGAGGACTAGAAGAGGCTGGGGAAGGGATGGCTCATGTCTTTCCTCTAGTTTAATAATATAGCAGAGGGGCAGTTTTTCAGAGGGATTGGTGAGGGAAGGGTGTAAGCTCCCTTTTTCTTTCTTCCCCTAGTGTGCCCTGCTCTACACCAGCTGTGCAGGGCAGCGACGGCTCCGCATACACAACCTGGCCCTGAACTGCTGCACCCAGCTAGCTGATCTGTATCGAAACTGTGAGACCGACACGCTCATTAACTACATGGCCAAGTTTGGTGAGGATAGCGACAGGGCAGGGTGGGATTTGGGCTGAAAAAGGTGATGGTTAACCCAGGTAGATGTGGTGGGAAGGCACATGTGATGGAGTGGCTGACTAGTGACTGTGCTATTTCTATTTCCCATCCAGCATACCGGGGGGTCCTAAACAGCCCTGTGAAGACTGTTCGTGACACTCTTATCACCCAGTGTGCTCAGATCCTGGCCTGTTACAGAAAGAACTGTGCCAGCCCCTCCTCTGCAGGACAGGTGGGCAAGCATGTTGGTGGAGGAGTTGTTGGGACAAATGTTTGCATTTGGGAGGGATTTCTCATGATTATTGACTTTATCTTGATAACCGCCTTCAGCTGATCCTCCCCGAGTGCATGAAGCTGCTCCCAGTTTACCTGAACTGTGTGTTGAAGAGTGATGTCCTACAGCCTGGAGCTGAAGTCACTACTGATGACCGTGCCTATGTCCGACAGCTGGTTACCTCCATGGACGTGGCTGAGACCAATGTCTTCTTCTATCCTCGGCTCCTACCTTTGGTGCGACTGAGGGCTGGAGAGTGAGACACTGCACTGAGAAAGGGGCATCATAGAAGGAGGCTGGGAAAGATTAATATCTGTGTCTGACATTAATTTATTTGTTTTTACCTATGTTATGTGATTTAATTTTCACAGAATTACTGAGGGACTTAGCTTTCTGAAATTTTTGTGGGGGGGGGGGCAGTAAACGTGTCTCACCTTCTCAGTAACATTTCCCCCCTTTCCTTTTGTCTAGACAAAGTCTCCCATTGAGAGTACCACTGAACCACCAGCAATCCGAGCATCTGAAGAGCGTCTAAGCAATGGGGATATATATTTGCTGGAGAATGGGCTCAACCTTTTCATCTGGGTGGGAGCAGGTGTCCAACAGGGTGTTGTCCAGAGCCTCTTCAGCGTCTCCTCCTTCAGTCAGATCACCAGTGGCTTGGTAAGGGCAGGGCATCAAGGAGAATATGGGTGTGGAAATGTACTTTGTGGTAGGAACCAATAAAGTTTTTGTACTAGTCCCGTTAAATAGCAGGGAACACTTGGAAGGCAGGGAAGGTGCTGTCATTCTTCCCAGGCTTCCTCGTTTCAGATGATGCATAAATCTGTGCTGCCCCATATTGACTGGACTCAGAGTACCTTACCATAAGGATTAATGAATTTTGTGTTCCAGAGTATTCTGCCAGTTCTGGATAATCCGCTGTCCAAGAAGGTTCGAGGCCTCATTGATAGCTTAAGGGCACAGAGATCGCGGTACATGAAGGTAACACTGATCTGAACCTTGGATTTTTTACCTGGTCAAGTTCTCACCTTGAAGGGGGGTAGGGAGCGAATGACTAGATAATGGGGTTTCAGGGCATGTTTAATTCTCATTGGCTCTGCCTCATGACGCTGTGTTCTGGCCATAGCTTATCGTGGTGAAGCAGGAGGACAAGCTGGAGATGCTGTTCAAGCACTTCCTGGTGGAAGACAAGAGCCTGAGTGGAGGAGCATCCTATGTGGACTTTCTCTGTCATATGCACAAGGAGATTCGGCAGCTACTGAGCTAGAGCAAGTGGGTAAAGGCATAAGGTCCCAGGCCAGCTTCCAGAAAGTACCCCAAGGCAGCAGGGAAATCAGGACAGTTCCATATCTTATAAGTCATGTAAGCTGACCTCAGTCTCTTTGGGGGGAGGGAGAGGTATAAGGAGACAACTTCTTTCTGGGCTCAAGTATTCCCCCACTCTGTCATGTCCTGCTGATAGAAGGTGCCCCTACCCCCTCACTTTGCCCTTCTTTTCCTGCTAATCCGGTTGTAATGAATGTAGTTTCTCAGTTCACTGTATATGATTCGGTTGGGGGATTTGGAGGTACCCAGACCCTGGTGATACCATGTCCCTTTGGACCAACCTCCAAGAAGAGGGAACAGGCAGGAAGGAGTGGGGATCCCAGGGTTACTATGGGGAGGGGGAGGGCGCTAATTCAGCTCAGTGCCATCAACAACTTCCTATATTAGGGATAAAACATACAGATGCACAAGAGCTAGGGTTTAGACCTTAGGTGGTGGAGAGAAAAGTGGTTGGTCCTTCATGGGCCTGGAAGTCAGCAGCCAAGTAAAAATTACTGAGGATGGTTGATTAGCTTTCTCTGCTTCCATGCTTTTGTTCTCTCCTGCAATGATTGGTGATCACTCCGTGGACAGAGGCACGCAGTCAGAGGTGAATGAGCCTGGGAACTGAGTTGCAAAGTATATTAACACCTGGGGGAGGTGCCAGCCTACTTTCCAGCTGGAGAGGCCCCAATACTGGATGGTTCTGTAGGAAGCCTGGTCATCAACTTGCAATACCTCACAGAGCCAGCCCACATCCCACTCTGAGCTCCCACTGGAAACACTGCTTCTCCAAGCTGGGGATTGTTGGGGAGCGAGGCAGAGGTGGCCAGAGCTCTGTACTCTCCTCCCGGGACACCACTCGGGCTCGGGTATTGATAAAGCGGCTGACAGTTATCTTCCAACCCGAACTGGCTGGAGTAGGACAAGGGCTAGGCTTGATGCTGGCCAGGCTTCCCTACTCCCAGCCTTGGGATGCCCCTGCTCTGGACTTCTCATTTCTCTTCATTGGTTTATTTTTCAATGCATCTTTAATTTGTAAAGAAATAAAGTAAATTAAGATGTAACCAGCAGCCTCATTTTTACCGGCGACGTATCACTAGCCCTCCAGTCCTTCCTGCTAAGTGGACGGCTGGGAGGAGCTGCGCATGCGCCACGGGCCCCCGCCGCGTAGGGCCCAGTTCCCGGTACTACTCGCCGCGGGGCGGGGTCCGTGCTGTGTGA